GTTCGGTTCTCATACTTTATTTGTCATGTTTTTGTCATGGTTACTACTGCACAATACTGTAGTGTTCGGTTCTCATACTTTATTTGTCATGTTGTTTTAGTCCGAGAAAAGAAAACCCAACAAACGATTAAAACGAGAAAAATCAGAACCAGAAGAAGAAGAGGAGCTAAGTGCAGAGGTGTGTGTCCTAGCAACATTATTTATAGAGAAAAGGGCTGGTTTTTGAAAGGAACAAAATAATTTGTTAATAAGTAGTGTTCAGTAAGGTGTGGTTTTCTAACGACAGACTTGGATGTCCTCTGCTCGATCTCTTCTTAATTTTCTGATGTCGCGGGAAGACGCAGAACCGTTCCAATCGCCCGTCAACCTCCGTGAGTTCCCGGTAAGGATTACTACCATCGTTTGCTCTTTTATCGAAGCACCGCTAAGGAATGTAGACATCAACTTGTATGAGACATCAACTTGTATCAACTTGTTTTGAGACAGCTTTCCAATCACATAAACAGCTTAAAACTTACATGAACGTTAATGTTTGTTGGGGGAGTGACAATGATTTTTTTCTTCAGGATTACACGGAATACGTCCAAGAGCCCATGGATTTTTCGACTGTGTCTGAGAAACTAGATAGTGGATCGTATGCAGACCCAGACGCTTTTGTACGTGACGTCCGACTTATTTTCTCGAATTCCAGGGCCTATAACACCATACCGCGATCAAGGGTAACAGTAATAATATTACAACAAATTTTGTTTCACTGTAAAACTACTGGTATGGCTGTACCGTTCCGTGACCGTGCCGTGCCATGGCGTGACGTTACTTGAAGTGACGTGCCATGGCGTGACGTTTCTTGAAGCGACTTGCCATGGCGTGACGTAACTTGAAATGACGTAACATTGTGTGACGTAACTTGAAATGACGTGACATTGTGTGACGTAACTTGAAGTGACGCCATGCCATGGTGTGCCATGGAAGTGACGTGACATGGTGTGACGTTAATTGAAGTGGCGTGGCGTAACTTGCCATGACGTGACGTAACGTCACTTGTCGTGCCGTACTATGGCCGTTCCGGTTCGATGTGCATGCACTTTGTTATTGGTTGAAAGTATTTCGTTAGTTCCGTTGCGGACCGTTCGTTTCACAGTTAAAGGAAATTTATTCTAATGTAATAATTGTAGTACTGACAACTGTATTCTTCACTACAGATCTACAGTATGACAATTCGTTTGTCAGCTATGTTTGAAGATCGTGTGGATTCAATCTTGAGTGATTGGTACGCTAGTGCATCAGGAGGTGCGAGACGTACTCGATTACGAACACAACGTCTTTTACAAATTGGATCAAGCGCAGATCAGGAAACCACGTCATGGCAAGTAGTAAACTCATCCAACCCTAGAGTACCGAACATTGATAATACAGATGATTCTTCGGGATACAGGGTTGTCCGGCAAGCTTCTGATAATGGGGATCACTTAAGAACGACTATACGACTCCCACCATCCCGACACAGTACTCGGAGCACTACATTTAATGCTTTGCCATCGGCACCTGCGGGGCGTGTCCCTCCGATTAGAATCAGAACTGTTGCTGAAGTATCTCCCAGAGAAGAAACGAGCCCACCTGAAAGAAGAAGAGCTACCAGACAATCTGTGCCATGTGGAGCGGCTACCAGGAACACTCGTAATAGAAGTACTCCAAGAAATGAAGTCCTGGTTAATGGAGACGGCACGGCGTCCCATCAGTATTCGACGCGAAGGAGCGCGAGATTGATGTCTGAAGAAAGCCAAGATGCTGAAGAAGAAGATGAGGAAGAAGAAGAAGAAAATGATGAAGATGAGGAAGACGGAAATCAAGATAGTGATGATGAAGGTGGTGAAGATGATGACGAGGAGGACGACGAGGACGAAAGTGAAGAAGATAGCGAAGAAAGTGAAGAAGAATCACCAGCTGATTCTCGTCCTTCTCGTCGTTCAAACGTACGACCCAAAATGAGACCAACAGCCGTTCCTAAAAAAACATCTTCACGAGGAGACAGAAATACCAAAAACACACGGTCAAAAAGTACGAGTTCTAGTACTGGCACTGGTCGCAGTCGAGGCGACAAACGTAGATTAAGCAGCAGTACGTCCACTGAGATCGAGGTACAAAGACACAGTACACGAGTACGTTCAAGGCCAACACATTTCACTTATGCTGAAAGTGAAGACTCTGATAGTGAAAATGAGACAATGAATGTTTCTAGTCGTGGGCGATTACGAAGACCAACCCAGAGAATGCTAGATTACATAGAGTAATAATCAAACACCAACCAGCTTGTTGCTTGTGCTGTGAAACCTGAAATTCTATTTCTTTTCAGAATTTATACAAATTTGTACTATTTAATATTAATAAAAGAGATGTTTTGTATTTTTATTATCAAATTCTTTCCAAACGTTATCAATTACCACGTACATTCTTGCACTCAGTCCGCTCAGTTTTGTATTTCAACTTGATGTACATCATTACTATTTTTCTAAATTTTCTAGAATGATTGTAATAAATCTGTCGTTCTTGTATTGACAGCTAATCTCTTGTTTTGTGTCTGCTTGGCGCCAGTATGAGTGCTGCATGTAGTAGCAGTTTATTTGATTGGACAAGCGTCGTAGAATAAATGTTATCAACCAATAATAGTGAGTCAAGTACAGTGCGATTAATACCATGTTTTGTTACTTCGGTGAACTTTATGCATCATTTCATGATTGTACCAAATCCAGCCTCAAATAAAATCCTTTTGACGATCATATTCCTTGTAATATGTTATTTATTATATACTTTGATCGCTGGCTTTGCGGTCCACTAGCATGGTAAATGAGTAAAAAAGTTGTTAATAGGCTATTGAAAGGCGAGAAGTAAATGAGGCCAATTGTTTACCCTGGCTGGCTGATCTGTGTGTCGTATCGCTGGCTAGCTTGACCCGGCTACACAACAACACGGAACACCATTTGTTTGCTGCTGCAAAGTGTTCTTGCTCCAGCCATTCAGGAAGTTTGAGTACTGACGAATTCCATTCTGTAATGGGTGAAGACAACCAGGCCAGAGACCAACGACGTGTAAGTGATTACATGTATGTAATAATATTAGAAAATTAATGATTATTAACTTATTAATTAATATCAAAGTAGGACTCGCGTCAGGACTCAAAGGCTTGCTTTTTAACTTAGCAAACATATTTACATCTAAATGTTGGTAACTTTTATGAGTATTTTCCATGATGATTTGACTTGATGCAGTTAACTGAATAGCGATAAGCATCTTTCAAATGAATGTTAAATCTTATTATTATTTCTTGTATCATCCGATATTTGTATCCTTAACATGGCACGAAATATCTTCATTATTTTCACATTCTGCTCTACCTTTAATTGATTTCCTTTGTATTTTGTAGCCATTAATTTAAATCTTAAATCAAAGCAGCAACTTTTGATTGAAAAACCCAGAATCCTGCATGTCAGGTGGATTCGCGGTTCAAATTCTGCATCCAAAATACCTAAATCTAACATTTGTTATGGATTATTTCCTTAAATACCGCATTACTCGGTCAGTAATCCAAATTTAAAAATAATCAAGTTGAAAAGGACAGCGTAACTGAGCCTTGAAGTCGCGACCACTTGACACTGACTAACTTAGAGATGTAGCGAATACTTTGATTAAATTCAGTAAAGGGTTCGAGAATTGGATTGGATTTGAAATAGTTCTAAATTCCTTTGTTTCGCCACCCTTGCTACGTGAGCTGTAGGTAGTTTACCGCATCACAGTTTCTGTTTCAGTTTATCGCATAGTTTGAGAAACTGCATGTTGGTCGCAGTTTGAGTTCCCAGTAGGATGAGCTTATGATTATGAAGGCAACATCTTAAGCAATGCATGTCTTCTCTTTTACTTTTTCTAGTAAGTGCCCGTGCTTGTCGTTTAGTTTCAAGTCAGCCGGCTCAGTTTGTGTGGTCTTATCTAATGCCAACTTATTAGATGGGGTTTTAAAAGGCTAAATTTAGAAGATCCACAAAGTTGCCGGCAAATGATGATAATGATAAGATGAATGGGCGAGGGCATGATGCAGGACTCCTTTAAAATAATCTGTCTAGTAATTGGATTTCGTGAGACTTACTGCACTGAGAAACCCAGCGAGAGAGAGACGACCTTTCGTCGTATCAAGCATAACGAGACGTTAAGCTTGAATATATCTGTGTGTTCCTCAGATTAACAAGGAAAACCAGGATCACCGCGTTGGGCAAAAGAGGCGATTGGATTTTACTTGTCATTCAGCGTGGTGGACACAGATATTCAACGTAAGTTAAACTTGACCTTCAATGGAGCTAGTCAGTTAAATGCAAACTGGCAACATTTCTGATTTAATGCCACAAAATTATGAATAAATGTTATGGAAAATATGTTAGCAAGATAATATCTGAAAAGTTTATAACTCGGTGTTCCAGCGGCGTCCTTTGAAAGCCATTTATCTCTCTACTTACGAAACATTTCAATTCGTTCTGTAAGAAGAGTGAACAACATTTGGCCTTTGTCATGATACTCGCGCAGGCATGGTACTCCCCTGCATGGCTTCCAAAAGAACACTTGAGTATAAATCCTTCCGGTGCAACATGGATAGCGGATAGCTTTTCAACCAGTACCTCTAAAAATACAGGTTATCTGGTCGCTTGGCGAAGCTACCTCGGCAGTTATCCAGTTTTTACTTGGTTTTTACCTGGTATAGACGTAGTAGTGACAAGACATTTAGCCTGTCAGGCAACTCCCCATGGTGATCTTTAAATTAGCTCTTGCTTAATTACTAATCTATTTATTTTCTTATTGTTCTTCGTTTATTGATCTTGACAGGCAAACAAATTGGTTATCATACTTTTCTTATACCTCACACTACCAAACTGGATCCCAACTTCTACTGCCCTTCAAGCCTCGTCCACTTATTCGGGACAAAGAAAAGCTAGTCAAAAAAACTATTCTTTATTTTCTTTAACAAAAGTCCCTACGAATGCGCAACAAATGCGCTTGTTCTGTCGAGTTGGGCTCTTTTTGTCAATGAACAGAAATGGAACTGTATCAGGGGTGCTTCAAAAGAATGGCACACAAGGTGAGTGTACTACTAATGTTTTATTTACGGCGAGTACTTTGTAAACGTCTTTCTACTACCATGTTGTATTACATAAACTGAAATGCTAAGCTCGGTATCAAAGCATACAAAAGTTAAGTTTTAACATTCAATGATATTTAATATTTATTTGTTTGTTATGTAGAAATCTTTGAGCTCCAGTCATTTGGTACGAGCATCGTCAGAATAAAACACAAAGTAACTGGACTTTTCGTAGCCATGAACAATAAGGGAAAAGTCAAAGGACAGGTAAATGAGTTCTTCTAAACAATAACTATATAGTAGAATGATCTACATTCATGAAAGTCTACCATTGTTGTTGAATCCACAGAGAAACGCTGTATCATCTAAAGACTTGTACTTTTATCTTAACCACGAAGAAAACGCTTTTGTATCGTTTGCTTCATTTTATCACAAAAAGAAAAAGAAATCATTGGAAATGTTCTTAGGAATAAAACGAGGAGGCGAGGTAAAGAACGGCAAACAAACTTCTACGGGACAGGACTCAATTGAATTTCTGTCGCTTGATATTTCCTAGAATAGTGAACTGAATGGTTATGCTAGAAACGAAAAGTCTTGCCGGAGTCTATGGTACTTACTGCACCATGACAGGCGTAGATTCCATCAGACAATAGTATTTAACCAAAGATAATCTGACATCAATATTCCATACAGTATTTATAGCTATTTATAGAGGATAAATATTTAGCGAAGATTATCTGTCTGACCTCACCTCATATTAGGGATGTGAACGTGAGTTATTGCCATCGGCTTATCGAACAAATCCTGTCCTGTATCTCAGAGTGAGCACTGGCTCAATGTCTTATAGAGGGCTGCGCTTTCTGTATGTCTAATGATATACATTAAAACTATGTCATAGCCAGCTGTAGTACAGATCTTTATATTAAACAGAACATGTTTTCGCTTAGATATGATATTGATATATTTTCAACACTCCATTTTTCATGTTCTATCGTGTTGAAGATGAGAAAAGAACATTTTCTATGAGACAAAGTTATTCATATCATTCTTTTCAAATAGGTTTTACATAAAACGAGCACAAAGACATATTTCAGCGCTTAATGGTCAACTGAAATTAAGTCAGAGATTCACACTTTACCAGGCAAACAAGCTGTACAATAGTCGTTGTCAGTCCCCACATAACTTTTATGGAAACGCTTTGCGTTCATCTTCATTTGAATGTGATAATAAAACTAGACGATCAAGTGGTTGCAAGGAAGAAAATGATATCTTATTAGATGACTAAACGTTTTTTCAAATAATCCAAGCATAGTCTTTGGTTATTGAAAACTTTAAGGATTGGTGATAGATTCTAATGAGAAACTTTTATCTTCGATCAATTTGTCCTCATACAAAAATAATCCTTTGGCCACCAATGCGTTAGCACAAAAATCGTAAGCCGTGTGTTATTGAATTAAAGCAGTCACGTGTCGTCCGGTAAAGACACCCAGCTGTGAAAAGGTACACGTCAAGCTATCACAAACCGTGACTTGTCATAAATCACGTTAATAAATTTATTTAACTTGGACAAGATTGCAACCACTTCAAATATTTTCATATTTTCAGGATGCACACACATCTAGTCTGACTGAGACAGGATGCGCCTACATCTAGTCTGACTAAGACAGGATGCGCACACATCTAGTCTGACTGAGACAGGATGCGC